AGAGAAAAAATAATCAAGAAGATACAGATTTTCTAGGGGATGAGTCCAGAAAAGAAAAAAGAAAATCTTATTTTTCAAGTTTGATTTCAATGGTGTTTTACAAAATGAACCACTCCTGATTAGATTCAGATTTGTTGGTAATACCTCTCACAAAACAATTCAAAAGGAAAAGAAAGACAATAGGAGAAATGGCGCTTGAATGAGAGAAAGAATGGAAAGGGATTCTTCCTGGTGATTCTAATTGGTTTTTAACATTTTCCCCAATATCGCTTTGTTGCATGTGAAGAATACACTATTCAGTGACCCAAGATCGCGCCACAACAGGTCACTGTTTTGTTAGTCAACGGTAACCTTGCTGGTCATATTATACTCAGGAAGCAGGAGACTTACAGTGGGACTTTGCCCAGAGCCAGCATTGTAGCCAACTTCATTGAGGGTGCAAATTCAAACAAGGTAGGATCAGCAGGAGTATATCAGTCCAAGTCTGCATTCATAATAGACATTAAGCACAGGCTGATCTTCATGAGTCTTTTTATCATGCAGGTTACTCCTTATGGGGAAATTCCTTCACATACACTCAGGATGAAGTTTTTCTAATAGCATTTGATGTCAAACTCCATGAGACTTAAGACTCCTTGATACAAATTGCCCAACAAGATGTTTGGACATGAAAGGAACTAGAACTAATTGTATTATAAATTATATATATATATATAATTATATATATAAGCTATACAATTGTATTATATAAACTTCATGAATGAAAAGGACCAAGTGGCAAGGGTTCTCTCTGCATTATAATATTTAACCATTAGTCTTGCTGAAATGTTGGCATATTATACAGTCATTAGTAGATGGTCATAAAAAGCACTTACATGAAATTTTCACAACTTGGAAGGACTTTGTTTTGCAGATTTGGGGTTGGCTGTTATTCAATTTTTCAAGTGTTCCCAATGGATCATAATATTGATAATAGGATGACCCACAAGTTTATACTTGCCAAGGGAGATACTTTATGGAACACAGTTTTGAGAACCATAGTAGAAATGGGACAAGAATCTGTTAGTAGCACTATCTCTGATATCCTCATAATCAGATACCTTTTGTCCTCTGAAAGCATGATCAGGAGGGTTAGAGACACTATATACATCTTTTTCCAGGTCTCATACTCAATCTAATGTTTTCAGTGGGGGAATCCCACTATGAAATAATGAATGACAAAACCTTTAAAATAGCGTGTTTATCAATTGTATAAAAATGCAAGCATTTTAAGGCTAAGTGAGAAATCTCACTGAATAAATTTATACAACACTACTGTACATACATTTAGACCACAACAAAATAAATCTAAAAACATATATATATATAAAAAGACCTTACAAAGAAATTCAACAAAACACATTGACATCTATTACTTTCACAATGGAAAAAATGAGTGGACTCAAGGCTATATTAATACTCAAGCTCAAGATGATTGTTCACTAGGAGATGTGAAAGCCATTTGAAATATGAAAAAAACTCCTACTGTGTAAATAAATCACAGACTTCAAGAAAAGCAGTGCAGAATGGGACCTAGAGATTATCTAGATTGCATACTCCATCTATTTGGTCATTTGAAGGTGAAATTGTCAGGCTACAGAATAAAACCCCTGTCTTTGTGTTAGAAGAGAGAAAAAGTAGAAGGCACGCAAAATTTTGATTCAAACAAGCCTGAATTCAAATCATAATATTGCTCCATAACTCTGTGTCCCTTGAGCAAATTACTTAATCCTCTAAGTTTTAGGAGGAATGATGACACTAATACCTACTTCTTAAAGTGGTTTTCAGAAATAATGAAAGAGAGGAAAACTACTTTGCTCAAAGCCTTCTAATACCTTCCCATTCTATTCAGAATAAAACCCAAACATTGCATGTTCTCTTAAATCTGTTCTGTTAAATCAAGCCCTAGGCATCTTCTCCTACATCATCTCCTGTCAGTGCTCCTTTCCCCTCTTTATTTTGCTCTAGGCAAGCCACCTTCTCATTCTGTCTCAGATATATATGCACCCTACTGCCTCAGGGCCTTTGCACCAACTCATCCTTCTTTCTGGAATGTTCTGCCTCTAGACCTTGGGTTGACAGCTGGCTCCCTATCTAAATTCTCATCTTAAGTGGTCCATCCTCAGGAAGAATTTCTCCAATTCCTCTGTTCATATACTCACTGACTCAGTGCCAGCCAGGCACTGTTCTATGTGCTGGGGGTTGAGACACCAGTGAATAAAAACCACTCCCTTCAGGAGTTTATCCTACCCCATCCCACTCATCTCATCTCTTTGGTCTCTATTTACTAAGCCTGCTTTTAAAATTTTTCATTGTATCTATCACTACCAGGTACTTTTCCATGTATTTGAAAAGTTATTCTTTTACTATTGCCTTCTCATTGAGTTTAGGCTATGTGAGGTCAGGCACTGCTGTGTTTCCAGCATCTAGAATAGTACCGGCATGTGGCAGGCACTAAATAAATGTTTGTGAAATGAAGATTTAAAAGTTTGGGAAACAGAATATGCAGGTAACAGACAGACTTTTCCCCTAGCCCTCTGTGTTTTAGAAGAGGAACTGATGTGAATGAAATTTCCAATGGCAGCCCACTTGAAGGATGCCACTAGCAGTTCACAAGCCCATCCTGGACTTTGTTCAATGCCTATGATGTATTAAGATGTGTGATTATTTGGCTTTAAAAAGAGATGCATTTCCTATTTGGATTTGTCCACAGTGAGTTTTGGTTGCATATGCCCATGTTTATTTGTGTATGAAGTGGTGTCCCTGGCATCTGTTCTCTTCCCGCCCCTCTGTACCCATGCCACAGAGCGTCTGGGCTTTGTCAGAGAGCTATAAGGAGGTTTAGAAAATTCTTCTCTTTGAGACTTCTGGCTTGTCCTATCAGGGCTGAGAGAGCTAGCAAGTACTGCTAAGTTGGCAGAGCGACAAAATCAAACCACACAAGGAGATAACAGCTGCAGCAGGGATGAAGAGCTTCTGAGGGCCAATGAAACAGGGAAGACAGGGAGATTATGGCTCATACATGGCAGATGGTTGCGTTCTGGTTAGAAATCAGGTTGTTGAGAAACATTTTGTCTCAGACAGAGCTGGATAAATGGGCGTTTAAAGCCACAGACAGGCTGGAGGCGAGCCCTGGCAACCTCAAATTCTATCTGCATCAGGATTGGGGTTCTCTTTTTCATCTTCTTTCCTCCATTTCTTGTCCATAAGGGAACTGGCAATTAGATGTCATGAGCCCTGAGATTTTTTGGGGATGCTGGTGGGTATGTTATCTTTGCACCTTGCCATTGCCTTTGCAATGACACCCATCAGCCATTTCAGGGGCATCTCTCTGATGGCATGGCCGACTGTGGTGAACGCTGCTTCCCTGAGGCTCTGGAAAGAGGCATTATGACAGGAGATTCCTGTGGGAGCCATGGAAAAGGTGCTTGCCTTTCAGAAAGTGACTTTCTGACATCAGTATTTCCAGAAAGTTCTATCTCTGACAGGAATTATTTCCTTATATTTCTTGCCAGTGAAAGAACATGTTTTGGACAATGTGAAATGAGGGCATGGGGAACAGGAATGAACAAATAAAGAAGAAAGATAAATGAGAAGACACATTTCCAATTTTTTGGAAAGATTATCCATCTTCCCTAATACTCTACCTTTTTTTTTTTTACCTTAGCGATAGCATTAGAGAGTGAAAAAAGCAATAGCTTTGGGATTAGACACTTCCCGGCTGTTTCAGTTATGATATTGACTTAGGCAAGAAGCCCCATTCCTCAAAAATCAGTTTCTTAATAGGCAAAATTGGAGAAACAACACTTATCACATAGGGTTGTTTGAAGTCCTAAGTGAAATACAGCAGGTCCTCAAATAATGTTGTTTCATTCAACATCATTTCATGAGAGGTCTGCGCGCCATGTGGGACCCTCCTGCGGTGGCCAGGGGAGAAGCCGGGGATCGAACCAGCACTGCAGAGGCTGCGGGCAGCTTTGCAACCCAGTGCTCAACCGCTGCGCCACCGGGGAGGCCCTGTTTCTCCAATTTTGGTTGATATGATGTAAGCAAAAGTTGGCTTATATCATAATCATCAGCATTTGATTATTAGAATGGTTAGATGAGAGGATGGTGAGTTTTCAGTGACTGCTCTGTTGTTGTGGGTGAGACCCAAGACTGCCCCCATGAAGGTACTCACACTCTGCATTCATGCAGCACCTGCTGTATCTGCTAGTGGAATTTCTGGTTTTCTCCTGACCCAGGGCCTCATGGAGGCTGAAATGCTGCCACAAAATTCAATATAAAATAAAATAAAATAAAATATAAAAAAATTAAAAAAAATTCAAACTCCACTGCTTGGGCCACAAGTTGGCCGCCTGGGCTCAGATAAGAGCTGTAATCCTCTTCTCCTCTGGGGGGATCTGCCCTTGCAACTCCTTCTAGGAGCCAGGTTGGCAGAAATTGCAAGGGAATGCTATTTCCCTTATCCCTGGAGAGTCTGTGTTCTCTGCCTTTCAAAACTTGGGTCCTAGTCTTTGAAGGATGGAGGGGGTAGGATGGGAGTAGGAGGAGGCTCTGTCAGGCCACTTTATAGCCCAGTGACCTCAAGAAAATGATTTACCTTCTTCAGTGTTTTTTGTTAAAATGGGAACAATACTGTCTGTCTCTTACTATTGTAGGGAAGATAAAATTTAAAAAAGGAACTGGTGTGTTAGATGTTAATTTACTCCTTTTCCCCCCCTCCTCTTCTGCTTCCTTTCCTTCCCTTCACTATTCAGTGATGCCTTCTCCCTCCTGTCTTTGATCATTAAATGACCCCCAGGTGGCTTGTACTGAGAGCCCCAGGTGCTGGAGGAAAGCCCAGCAGTCCTTCTCACCCCTTGTTATATGTCATGGCCAGGGACTGGAGGAAGATAGAATCACATTTAAGTCAAATCAGTTGAGCCAATTTCACTTACTATGCTCCTTCTCTGTTTCAGCTTTCTACTCTCAATATATACTGATGCTTCATTTGGTGGTGTCCCTGGAGAATGCGGAGTTTCATGTAAGTGAACTTTTAATTTTATTTTTGCAGAAAAATTAAGATAATCTCCTTGTGGAAATTAGGCCAGAACTTCTCCAGGCCCAAATGGCACAGTAGGGAATAAAATGTGTAAGTGGTAATGGTGCAGAAGCAAGAAGTTCCTTACTGTAGCGAGCCCTACCTGGGGAGCTTTTAACAACTTTTACACTCAGGCCACAGCCCAGGCCAATTACATCAGCGTGTGGGGGCTGGGAGCCAGGCGGCAGTGCTTTTGAAAGCTCCCCCGGTGATTCTAATGTGCAGTCAAGATTGTGAACCACCGCTGTTTGCTTTCTTACCATCCCAAATGTCTATGTTTCTAGATTGTGTGCCTATGATCCTATGAGGAGAAAAACAAGTGAAAAATACAATTATGTGGATACCTCAGGTCAGTGTTATGGCCACAATGATGGGGTGAGTGAAGGCTTAACTCATTGTTATGGAAAATAGAGGGTAGATCAGCTGTGAGTGAGGCCCAAGCCCTGGGCACCACAGCTGACAGACATGTGCTGATAACAACCAGGACACCCAGGCAGTGGAATAAGAAAATACAAAGTGAAAAGGCCAGATGAGAAGGAAAAGAAGGGAAAATGCCACTTTAATACAAAAGAAGAGATCAGCAGGTAGAACATTCCTTCAGGGGAGAAGATGACCAATCAAGTAGATAAAACTCAAAAGATAAATGATGGGCTGACAGCGGTAATAGTCTCTATGAGGTGCATGATTGTCTCCCTTGATTAGGACATTTGCTCAAGGTTTGGGGTTGGAGAAAGCACATAATCAATTGGGAACATGTGATCAGCTTTAGCCAATGAGGTCCTGGCTGAATCCTGAACGCTGATAAATGTACAGGTGCACTCACTTTTCAGAAGTTGGCGTTACCGTTCACTGAAGAATTACATAAGTCCTTGCTTTTGCAAACTGAAAGAAGTCCTAAGATGCGCTCCGCTTTCACCACAAAAACGAAAAGTTCAGCTCTGGCTGTGCAGTACCCTGTGCCCGAGCAGAAAGAGCGGGTGGCCGAGCTCCTTCCAGAAGAACTGCGTGCAGGGTCAAGCGACCACCACCTGGACTTTGTGAGCATCTGTGCTTTATCTTGTTTTACTTTGTGTATCCATTAGTGAGATATGGCCTAAGGTATCAGAAAAGCCTAAGAATTCGTGAGGGCATTATGCTTAGTGTGAAAGTACAAGGGTCAAAACCAATACCGTAGCAAGTGGCCTGAAAGTAGAGCCAGCCAGGCCCCGAATGTGAGCTTTTTACTGTGTTTGATGGTGCTGCAATGATTGCAGAAAAGTATGGTTTTACTTTTGAAAGGACATGTAGGTTTAGGGCAGCTTTACAGGATGCTCTGAGTGCCTAAACTAGTGTATGATAGAAATATGGGGAAGGGCTCAGCAGTCAAGTATATGGTTATATCTCAAGCCTTCTGCATCTGTCACAGCAGAGGACAAACCTTGACCTTTGACATAGAGGAAGACAGAGAAGATGTAGATGCCAGTGAGCTGCCTGCCCATGGATTTAGATGATGATATGATGTTAACAGATGACGCTCCTCCTCTCTTTTCTAGCCCCCCAGTCTACTGTACCTCCCACCACCCCAACCTCTGATGACCCGGCCTAACACCATCATCACCACTTCTCTCCAGTGTGCTTGCTGCCTTCCATTCTAGTAAGTGAAATTACACTGTACATATAATATTTCTATGTTGTACAGGCTGTGTATTTATCATATTATTCCTACTTTTACTATATGTTAATGTTATTTTGGATTTTATGTGTTATTTGGTATAATTTGGTAGGCTGTTTGAGTCTGAGAATGTGCAAAACATTTTCCACATAATTTAATGGTAATTGCTTCTTTGCTGTATGCCACTTCAGCTTACGAAAGGTTTCCTGGAACACTATTTTCAGATAATGGTAGATGGGATGGGATGGGGGGAAGCAGAATTCATTTACTGAGTGTCTCATCTAACAAGAAGAAACATAAATACTAATATAGAAGGAAATGGATGAATGAGTTCAACTGATAGGAGGTATTTCATATACATTGATTAATATGGAAGATAAAGCAGAAAGTATCTGGTTTTCAGACACCTGGTTTACAAATAATCTATGCATATAAACTCTGTAGCTCCTTCCCATTTATTATTCCTGCAAACTCCCTGTGCTATGGTTTAGCAATGAGACAGAGGTTTGGGTAAATTTGTGGAATCAGAGTCTGGGTAACATGACTATTTTGGAGAAGTGATCTTCAGACTGAGTCCTGATACCTTAAGTCTAATGACGTACTACTGGGAAAGGGTTGGAGAAATAAGATTTTAAAATAGAGAAAAGGTGGGCCAGTGTCTTCTATGTTCAGCATTCTTTCTCCTTGCTATACCCATCATGAAGATCCTCTAGGAAGTGTTAGCATTGGAAGGAGATTTTCAAAGAAGATGCATTGAACCCTGTGGCAGCTCACTCACCCCTTCTGCACTCTGCCCACCTGTCTTAACATCTCCTAATCAACAATTCCATTGGTTCAATATGTGTCCTTTATTGAACATTCAAGTAGGTAACAGGTCAAAAAGCTATCAACCCCATACACGAGTGTAAAAACAACGGTGCTGGCCTCAGGATTCCCAGGTGGGCTCTGCATGAGGAAGTGGAATTGTAGGAGGTGGGACATGGGTGACCCTGGTAGGGTTTCCAAAGAGGGTTTTGGGCTGCCCTGGACAAAGTAGTGCACAGAAAAGGAGGGAACAGGTAGTAAAATATTGTCTAGGGTCAATCTCTCTAGCTCTTGCTCATTTATTATTCCTGCAAACATCCTGTGCTATGGTTTAACAATGAGACAGAGGTTTGAGTAAATTTGGGAATCAGAATCTGGGTAACATGACTATTTTGGAGAAGTGATCTTCAGACTGAAGATCTGTGATTTGGAAAACCTACCAAATCATAGCAATCTGGTCCCAAAGAAAGAGATTTCTTTCCTTCATTTCTTGATTTCTTGTTCTCAGTCTCGTTAGAGCAAACTAGAGAATTGCTAACTATTCACATTGCAGTATGAGCAAATGGATTGTGGATTGTAAGTAGATCCTTGGCTCATAGCTCATTATAAGCTGATGACTTCCTGAACTGCATGATTGACTGTTTATTCTGGAAGAGATTATTTGTATAAAAATTGTTAATGAAAAACATGGTGGCTCATTCACTTAAAAACTGCTCAGAGGTTAAATGTTTATTCATGTGCTATCTAGGGTCTAGAAGGACTCTAAGGCACTGCTGATAGCTATGGTGATGCTAACTTATTTGATACCGTGAAAAGGGTCTGTAATATAGTGCTTCTTAACTACTTTGGAGTAATTTATACCTTGAAGAATCTGAGATTTCATTGCATTCTTCCCATAATATGCTTATATGCACAAAATCTTGCATATATTTTCAGATTTGTCAAGCTCCCTAAAGACTTGTTGATCTTGAACACTAGGCTAAGAATCTTCCTCTACTGAATTGAGGGAAACACTGGCTCATGTATTTTTATTTGGAATGGAAAAATTGCCATTTGAGAATAGTCTGTAGGATAGGGGTAAAGAATGGATGGAAAGCTGGATCATGGAGGGTCTTGAATGCTAGGCTAGGGAACTAAGACTTAATCCTGCAGCCAGTGTGTTCAGCCTACTTGTACATCTTCATGTTTTTGCCGTATCTATAAACCTATGCTAAAATTAAACCTTTCTCTTCACGTTGATACCTCTTTAAAATTTGATACCTCTTTACAAATTTTTATTTAGGCTCAATGTCCATGCTTTTATGTTTTAATATAATTATGTCTAATACATATGCAAATAAAATGTTGATTTGCTTCAACCTCAAATGCGCACCTAGGCATCAGCGTTCCTCACTTTGGGAAAGGCTAATGTGAGCCATATGGGTTTCTGATTGAGTGGGAGGTGATGTTTTAAGATCTGTGGTCATGTGTTGGAATGGAGAGAATTACTGAGACCAAACAGTGACTGATGGTGGGTTGGTGGGATCCTGGGCGTGGGAGGTCAAGTAGGACTTCAGAGTGGAGGCCAGATGAGCAACCTATGAATCACTCCAGTCTGTGGAATACCTTCCTGGCGTTGGAACTCAAAGCAGTTGTCATGGAAGTTATTTAGTAAGTGGGCTCCTCGAGTGAATAAAACAATGCAAGGGCATGATTATTTTTGTGTACTGTTTTACTTGTATTTACTTTATTCCTATTTTTCTCAGTAAAAGAGGAATTTATGTGTTTTTCATTGCCTTTACTTTACTGATTATTTTTAAAATGAAAATGGCTAAAAAAGGCGAGACATTAAAATTCTATGTGTTGAGAGAATCTGAGGCCTGGATAGTGGAGTTGAAAATCAAATGGTCATTTTCGGTAGATTTTTTGTAGTTTCCACCAATTTGAATAAATTAATGGTTAACTGAAAAATAGATAGTTGTCACATTTTTTGGTGTTGTTTGAATGACACAAGGAGCAAAATAGAACATTGTCCATTATAAGGTGTCACCATACATGATACATCATAAGATGAAAGGAGTTGTTCTTATTCATTGTCTTGGTAAGGAATTGTGTAAATGACATGTCCATCAAATTCCTTTTTTATTTCAGTGAATGTTTTGTGAGAAGAACAGAGGGTTAGCTAATTTCCTATTTGGGACTTCTAGTTAGTCTGATTAAAATATTGTGCTTGGAAAGGATAATTTGAATTTGCCCTGACTGAGACATATCAAGTGACCTAGATATTGTGTTTACATTTTCCTTGTGGGAATCTAATGGCTGCTACATAGGGGCAGAGAGCATTCCAGGAACACAACCAACTGTATTTTCTCTCCAGGAATCTGTCTAATAAATAGTTGTTCAGGTAATTGTAGGAATGAGAGAGAAAATGGGCTCCTACATTTAAAGTCATTTTTAACTTGGCCATACGCAGTACTTACAGTTTGGAATCAGTTAAAATATGGTGTGAAGAGCACAGCACATATAGAAAGATGTTCTTGACTCAAGTCTTAGAGTTGCCCTGAGCTAACTACATGACCTTTGGTCTGTGACTTGTCTTTGATTCTCAGTTTCCCTCTCGACGATGCATATATTAATACTACATTAACAGCAATCTTTATTTAGTATGATTGATTGTAGTAGCAAATATGACATAAAGATGATGTTTGTCAAGTATAAGGTGCTAAATACACACCATAATTATCACCATCATCCTTGTTACCATAAAAGAATTTGAGTGCTTTGTATGTTCTCTGCTTGTATTACCTCACTTAATCCTTATAATTAACCCCATAATATAAATGCTATCATTAATTAAGTTTTATGGAGGAGAAAACAAAGGCATCTAGAGATTAGCTTGCTCAGTGTTGTATATTAGATGGCACAGCTCACGTGGGAAGCCAGGGAAACTGACTCTAAAGCTTGCCTCAACCTTAAACCAGAATTTCCAAAAATTAACTGGTAATTTCTGTGTGTTATGTTTCTTAAAACATTTGGACTTATGTTAAAGGGATAGTCAAATAAACCTGAAAGGAGCTTAGACACAATTCAGCATCTGTCTCAAAGAGCATTTTTACTTGTTCCCAAACATTGTGTTGGATGGAACCATTTTCTAAATTTGACCCTTTATAAATTTTAGTCATTTCCCCTAAAAATCCCCTTTTTGGCTCTAGGCGGTTTCTTTCCCTCATGACCATAGGTGGTCTACAGTGCTTGTCTGGTCACTGACGTTAAGCAGGGAAGGCACCTAGCAGGCTGCATATGTCCCTCTTGCCTCTACTCTCCTGTCTTGTCTACTGCTCCCCTCAACAGTGTATTTCAGTATATCTGCCTATTCTGCTCCCCACTCTGTTTCTGGTGAATCTTCTCACCCCCTCCTCTGCACCTCTGGCCTGTACCCCAGTTCTTGTTTGCATAAATAATTTTTTTAAAGATTTATGCATACAAGAGCTGGGGTACAGGCCAGAGATGCGGGAGGGGGGTGGGTGGGTGGGAGGGGTGAGAGGATTCACCAGACACAGAGTGGGGAACAGAACAGGCAGATTGACCGAAGTACACTGCTGAGGGGAGCAGCAGGTGAGTTGGGAGAGGTCTGCTGGCCATGTGGGTTGCTCCCTGGCTGGCCAGGGATCGAACTCATGCTGCAGTGGCTGCGGACAGCTTCATAGGTTGCATCTTAACCCCTTGTGCCACCAGGGAGGCCCCAAATAAATCTTTTTTTTAAAAAAGAGGGCAGGAAGCCATGTGAGTAATATCTGTACCTTGAGAGGGCGCATGGTATGGCATGGATATAGGGCACATAAAACTCTTGGGCTAGAAACCCTCCACTCTGTGTCTGGAGGTGTCGTGGTATGTCTCATTATGGTTTAGAAAGGAGAATCAATATATAATATAGACAGGTGGGAGGAAGCCCCATTGTAAGGAAGGTGCTAGAATTCATGTATGTTATTCTCATTCTTTTAAAATTGCGGGTCCTGGGGCATCATGGAGGTTAGGTCACTTGATTGATGAAGCCAGAATTGGAATCCAGGTTCATCTGCTTCTGGAGCTTTTTCCTCATAACTACCATATTGAAACACATCCCAGAAGTCTAGCAACTTAAGCAGATGGATCTGAATAAAATCTAAGTCCATAAACTAAATCTATGACTCCCTAAGGAG